TGGGATCACCATAAGTCAGCTGTGACTTAATGACGACAATAGTAATGAGAAACATAAGAGAGATGATATTTGTAGATGGATAAATTCTATTATATCTTTAAAATGCATTGATTTATACTTATTTTTAAAGAAAAGTATTTGGAATTTTCTACAATAGCAAAACAACATTCCAGTAATTTTGAATGCTGATATTTTACATTTCACAAATGTGTTTAATGTCTGCCCAAAAATAGCCCTGCCGGTCTGAGATCTAGCTGTTCTTTGGATGGTCATTAGGTACCAGATGAATTTGGTTGGAAATAATCAAACCCAGCTTTCTTTTGACAGATAGAGTTCAAGAAACATGGGCTGTGGCCTTGTAGGTTTTTCTCTCTCATTGATACACCTGTCCACATAAGTAATGGGAAAGAATTTACTGTCACAAGTAATGGCCTCTGTGGGCTGTTTGAAGCTTCTGTGATTTGTAACTCTCTCTACGCTTGTTCAACATTTTTCTTCCTGTCTTTCTTCCCTTTCAGTCAGGTGGTCGGAATATTTGGGAGTATCATTTTTTTAAAAAAAAACTTGGTTCATTAAGCATATTAGCACTTTCTAACTAGACAAATCAATGATATTGCTTTGTTCAAGGTCCTCCTAACTAACTACTTCAAGCAGATTGTTGCCATGTATTTGTGAGGGTCCTTGCAGAAACAAGCAACATCTCCGTGTTTTTGCAGGCTAGACAACTTTCAGGCAAAGGTCAGTTGTGTCCCCACCCTTAACTGTCTGCTGCAATTCTAAATGTATAATTAGGAAGGGTAAGGGAAAAACAGCAAAAGTTGCAAAGAAGCAGCAAGGGTAGCACCTAACCCCACCACCCACCCCGTACACACAATAACCACTTCTGTGCCATACTTCCAGTTTTGCTCACAGCGTTGGATTGCCGGAGAGTACAGAGGCTGTGATCACACGGGCAGTTTGGCCCGACACAGCCACTCCTCCCCTCCGGATCAAATGGGCGCAGTCAGACAGGTGTTCCCCAGCCATACTACTCCTGTCATAGGACGACTTGGAGCCTCAGACTAGATAAAGAAAGGAGCTGGCAATTAAGAGCCATCTGCCAATTTTGTGGCTTTTTGTTTTGTTTTGTCTTTCAATTATATTTCAGATAATGATAAGCGATATGCAGCTGGATGATAAGGGTGAGTCTTAAAAGGCACAATGGCCCCTTTAGCATTTCAAGTCATTTCTAGCAGGAAGTAAAACTATGTTAATTGTCATTACACTGTAATTATAGAATTACAGGGATCTGACATTTTCATTTATCAGCCATTTGTTTAAATGACAGTGGTGCTGCTTACTTTGAAGTTGAACTATGTGCGCAATAACACCTATGGCAAATATAATTATTTCCAAATTTGCTTAGCTGCTTGTGTTATCTGGTGCAGTGTTTTGCTAGCCATATTGCGCATTATATTTCCCCTTCTTTTTTGGCTAGCTGTGATCTGGATTATGGGATTTGATGTATGAGTTTCACACAAGATTGGCCATGTCTTGTAGTTGAAATAGATGGCATTTGGATATTTTAACCCTTTTTTAATCAAGCCACTTGATTTCTTGCAGTACTTGAACCGTTCCTACCTGGAGGTCTTCGTTCTTGTGAAGGAAACATATACTCATGAGAACAACCCATCCTGTAGCCTCAAGACTACAAAATCTGTGGTGCAGTTCAGCTGCAAAAGAGCCACCCTTGAGTAAATAGAAATCCTCTAATTTAATGAAGCTGTTTATACTATTGAAAGAATGGCAGAAGAATGTTAAAAGGCTGACCAATAGAAATGGCCAACATTCTAACAGGGAGGAACATGCTGCACAGGGCTGGGAGAATGAAAACTCTTCAATTCCACCTGGCTGCAGCAAAGATTAGTCAAGACAAATCAGGCTCTTCCACTTTGTCAACATTTGTTTTTGTAAGTACACAGGAAGAGTGCTGGGGCAGCCTTAATTTGTGCTTGCCCGTCAGCCGTAATCCTGTTCACAGTCTTCCAACTCTTTGGGAAATGTTTATTCAATGGGAGATTGCATTGCAACTTCACATTGATCTGGAAATGGTATCAGTTTCCTGGATGCCTGCCTGTCTGGCTTTCAACCTCTGTCTTGCTCTGTGACAATGCCTGTGGCTTCGATGGGTCATTTTCATGGGGAGAATAGATAGGAATCCTTACCCTGTGTTGATCCCATTAGATCTTTCTGCAGCTATTGATCATGAAGTGGTGATGTGCTGACCACAGAACTTGGCAATCATTTATGGAACTGTTCTATGCACGGGCCACCTTGTTTTCATCAGGAAAAATGCCAAAATGCTGTTATGGCTTCACAAATTCTCTCTCTGCCAGTAAAGGCACAAAACCTAATGCAACCTAGCTCTATCTATGGTAGCGCGTGGGAGTGGGAAGAACATCAAGGATTTCTGCTCTGTGATCCTTACAAGATATGAACTTTAGGGTAGACTTGGGCATTAGGCATGTCTGATGGAGCTGTGGACGCACAAAGAAGTTTGCAGTGAAGTTTCACCATGGCTTTTTAGCATCAATGATAGAATTGAGAAGAAGCACCTCTGCTCTTGATGTCATCATATTACATTCCTGTTTCATCCTGCCCACTCCAGACATTTGAGGGCCATTTCCTCAGGGCTTGATGTGGCTGAGCTCTTCATGTGTGAAGTCCTTTAAACCAACCCAAAGGATTTGTGAAAGAGCTTCTGGCACAAAGGACATCTTATATCCTGCATCTCATCTGATGTGGGCTCAAATCCAGCCTCAGATGTCAAGGTTATTCCCTCTAAGCTGAGTTAGTGTGAGCTAGCTCACAGTTTTTTAGCCTCTGGCTCACACATTTTTGTCTTTGCTCAGGAAGGATGGCTCCAGAGCAAACTAATTTATGTAAATCGCTCGCTCAAAACTTTAATGCCAGTACCCTTACTCACAAGACTCAACAGGCTAGAGGGAGCATTGGTTATCACTAGTCCAGAATTGATTGCTGCCCCCTTTTACAGCCTTGGCACATATGACTGGAGAAAAGGTGCCATTGAAAAATCTACAATTGAGTTTTTGAGGCAAATACCTTCTTTGCTGAAATGTTTGGAGGCATCTTGATATAGCATAAGTTGTGTGTTGTGATTGGAATGATCTTGGTTGATCTATGGGATGAGATTGGGGGTGGTTGGATATATGAAGGATTTTTTTCTTTAGAGTACAGGACTTGATATCTTTCTGGTACACGGAAGCCCTGTTACGATGTTACATTCTGGCCTTCATATGGTTCCAGCTAGGGAAACTGAGGGTCCAGAGGAAAATAATACATTTTAAAAAATCTTTGCATATATTGGAATTTTTAGTTTGTTTTTCTTCCTGCCAGTGTGCTGATTTTTCTGGTGACCGTTTTGCTGTGTTACTGTTGATCTTATATCTGTCTAGCTGTTTGGTTTCATTTAATGTCATTTTGCGAGCTGCCTTGTAGAGCTGGTACATTTTGGAAGGTGGGATCTGAATCAAGTAATTTTTGCTGGAGGTGGAGAGAGCCAGGGCTCTGGGTGCAGATGATGTTAAGCGTAGGTTTCAGCACTAAGGAAGCTAGAGTGTCAGCACTTGTTCCCTTGTTAAAAATAGGTGAATGAAAGTTTGAACTGCATGCCCAAAGGGATCCAAGGCTGGGGATGGTTTATAATGATAGCCCAGTGACAAGAATGGGAAAGCAATATGAATTTAATTTGGAAGCTAGTCTCGCTTAGTGGATTAGAGTGCCGAACTAGGAATTGGAGATAGCTGGGTTCAGATATCAAGCCATGAAGCACCCTTGGGCCACTTGATTCTTCCCAGCCTAACCTCTCTCTCGGGATTGCTGTAAGAATAACCTGGAGGAGAGGAGAACCATACCCAGTTCCCCTGAGCTCTATAGAAGCAGTGTGAGATAAAAGATAGAGATATATGTTTGAAGTAGCAATAGCACTGCTGTTACGTGGATGGCTCAGACTAGCCAGATCTCATCAGATCTTGGAAGCAAGCTGGCTTGGCCCTTGTTAGTATCTGAATGGGAAGTCCAGGGTTCCTATGCAGGCATTGGCAAACCACCTCGAAACATCTTTTGCATTGAAAATCCTACAGGGCTGCCATAAACTAGATGAGACTTGTTGGCACTTTCCACCACCAGCACTAGCATTATAAACTCAAATAGGCATGTCTGAAATAGTACAGCAGGGAGCAGGCCAGTCTTGAGAAGGCAGCTTTATTCAGGCCAAGGCATTTTGATGGGGGGGGGGTTCTTTGGAACAAGGAAGCCGCCACGTGCATTCTGAGGTGATCAATGTGCATACAGTTTATTGATCTCAGTTTAAACAGGATTCATGTCTGCTTCTTGACTATCAAGGTTCTGGGGGAAATGTGCTTGGTTATGTGTCTAACCTGAATATTCTAAAGAGAGCCCTTTATCCTTATGCTGACCATGCTAGGGCTCTACATACAGGAATGCATTTTCATTGGTCAGCATTCAACTCTAATTTTGTAATCCACATTTTATTGCATTGTTTGTATATTTTATTGCATTATTTGTATGTACATTGTTTATATTACATTGTTTAAAACTACACACACACACACACACAGACAGACACACACATTCAACTGTGTGATCCCCCTCACTCTACCCCTTTGCAGTTTGATATGGTATAATCAGGAAGAACTGAACCAAACTTGTGTTTTTCTTCCAGTTTGAATCAGCCCTGAATCAACAGTGTTATGAGAATTAGATGCAGTGGTGTTGGTGTCCTACTGCCTTCTACTCTTTGCACACTTTGAAAACAGTTCAGTTACCTACTGATACCCGCTCAAAATCACACCATTGCAGGAGGAGATGGCTAACAGACTTTTTGTTTGCTCATTTGTTTTGTGTGTCTTTTGGCACTAATCTTTTTGATGTATTCTGCTGCTAAGCTGTTGGATGTTTTTTTCTTGGTGTCGTTGCAGCTGGTGCTGAAAACAAAATTGGCTGGGCATTTGGTCTGGGGATGGAGAGGCTGGCCATGATCTTGTATGGGATCCCTGACATCCGCCTTTTCTGGAGCCAAGACGAACGTTTCCTGAAACAGTTCCATGTGCCTTGCATTGATCAAAAAATAATATTTCAGGTAAAGGACAAGAGTGGGATTTGTGTTCTTGTAGAGCAACTGACTTTTACCTGCCGCAGCATTAATAGGCACCCAGTGTAAAGCACTTGTGCAGTTCTCATACATGTTCAAGGTCACAACTCAAATCATTCAGTATCCTGTTATTGCGGTTAGTATTGCAGAATCATTCAGACTCCTATCAGATATTTAATGCCATGTTTCCTGAGAGTAGAGTGTGTGAGAATCATAACATCTAACATCTGGTTTATGGTTTACCTGGACTTCCTTGTTGTAAGAGAGCAATGTACCCCATGTTCTTCCCCCATGCAGATGTTATACATACTTATTTAATATATTTATTTACAAAGTGTGCATCCCACCAAGGTGGCTAACAGTTAAAAACAAAGCATCAAAAAAGCAAAGGTAAAATACATATATAAAAGCACAGAACCAATAACTAAAATACAAGGCAAGAAGAAGCAGTCATTGAGGGAGTGCCGGACAAAGCAAAACGTCTTCACCTGCTAGCAGAAGAAAGTGATTGAATGGGACAACAAATGTTCCACAGTTTTGGTACCATGACCGAGAAGGCCCTGCATGTTTGAGCCAAGAGCTTGATTGTGCAGATGTTCATGAAATCTCCTGTCCTATTCCCTTGTGAGGGGGAGGCAGCTGCCTCGTGTGACATCTGCAGTGAATTTTCATACCCATGGAGGGGTGATTTTCACCTATTTCCCCTCTCCCACAGCAGACCTCCAACTATCCTCTCATGCTGTTCCTGTGGTCCCCTGACCCCCAGGTAGGGGGGCCCTGCTCTGGGTTGGGAAATACCTGGAGATTTTTTTTTGGGGGGGTGGAATCTGGAGAGGTGGGTTGGGGAGGGGATGGACTTTAATGCTATAGAATCTACCCTCCGAAGCAGCCATTTTCTCCAGGGGAACTGATCTCTGTCATCTGGAGATCAGTTGTAATAGTGGGAGATCTCCAGGTGCCACCTGGAAGTTAGCAATCCTACCCCCAGGAGCAACATTTCAGGGGCATTTGAGGATGCACTGCAAAGCAGGAGGCAAGGAAGGGCCATGGACAGAAATCCCTTCCATTCATGGAAAACATCTGGGGGATCCAGGCAGATACGTCCTAACTTTACTTGAAGCAGGAACCTATGCTAACCATAAATATTGGTCAATTCAAGTCCTGCTTTGTATGTTGTATGCTTTTGTGGCTTTGTTCATTAACTTAATCAATAGTAGTCCCAAAAAGTCAGCGGTTAATTGGCATGTGCTATACACTGATTACATTACAATCAAGAAGTTACAGACTTGATGGTTTTCATAGACATATGGAAAAGAACTTGCAGCTCCAAGAAGAAATTGTCAGTCTGGCTCAGTTTAAATGGCTTTGAGGAGAATTTGCAAAAGGGAGGCCTGGGAGATCAGCTGGAAGGGTAAACAAATCAGTACAAATAAAGCCTTGATTCTGTACAGTCTTATGTAACTATCCTTCAGTAGCCAGCCTCTGAGCAAAGTCCTGGGAGTTCTAAAGCATGACACAAATTGTTTGTTAATCTGAACATTGGGAGTTAATTGGCTGGCATGGCTGGAATCAGCACAGAGCAAAGTCAGACAGCTGCCCATAGCTTATGCATGTTTATTTGACAGGACCCCCTGATCCAAACCACAGTACGGTCCCTAAACCACCATCTCTAATGAGCTTTTGATGCTTGGAAGAACAGTAATAATGCTGGATTAATAACTGCAGAAGAGAATGAGTGGTACCTTCTGGGTGGCAGAAGGTGCATTGCTTTGGTCAGCAAAGGGTCACAGGGATGTGCATTTGGCATTTCTGAGCCAAATTTATACCCAAATCACACCTTTTCGGCATGATTCAGGCATTAGTTAAGCCGAATCAGATTCTCTGATCTGATTCGGGTTACCAATAACAAAATCCTAAATTAATTCGGGAACCCCGAATTTTTCGACTCCATTATCCCCTATGGGGCCATTATAGTCAATGGGAAATCTCCTAGGCCTGGGTATATTCAGTGGGCTAAGGGTGAGGGGGTTTGAGACAGAGGCACCAAATTTGCAGCGTAGCTGCTGGAGCCTCTCCCCCAAAGAACCTATAAGTTTTAACAAGATTGGATGTGGTGGTCCAATTTTATGGGAATCCAAAGAGGGTGCCCCATTCTCCATCATTTCCAATGGGGGGGAAATAGCAAGGCAATACAAGCCCAGCAGAATGTCCCAGAGAATCTGTGCAGTTGAAAGTGATGTAGGGAGGGCATTTTGCAAGGCCAGCAGCAGAACCAGTGCAATGTGCCCAGCAGAACCAGTGCCACTGTGGCAGTGCCAAAACCCAACAGGACTAAAGTCAGATCTGAGAATCTCTGAAATAAAGGGGCATTTATGCAGAACCAGTACATTGTACTAGTGCTCAGCAGCAGAACCCAGTGCCAACCTACTGGTGCCTAGCAGCAGAACCCAGTGCCATTGTGGCAAATGCCAGGCCAGCTCAACAGGACTAGTGTCAAGCACAGAATCCAAGCAAGAAGAAGGGGGGTTGCAGGACAGCAGAAACACTGCAGTAGTGGTTGCCCATCAGCAGAACCTAGTGCCATCCTACTAGTGCCTGGCAGCAGCACCCTGTGACATAGTGGCAAATGCCAGCTCAAAAGGACTGATGTCAAGCACAGAATCACAATCCAAGCAAGGGGTGAGGGGGTTGCAGGACAGCAGAACCAGTGCTGTAGTAGCTGCCCAGAAGCAGAACCCAGTGCCATTGTGGCAAATAGCAGCTCAACATCACTGGGCTTCTGTTTATTGGGCTGGCCTTGGTTCAGGTGGGCTAGCAGGAACACCTGCCCACCCTGTTCTGCTGGGCTTCTACTGCCCTTGTTTCTGCCAGAAAAAAAAATTAAAACCCTGCTGGGATTCTCTGGTGTGACATTGGTTAGTTCTATTGCTACCACATAGGCACTGGGTTGTGCTGCTAGGCACTAGTACATTGCACTTGTTCTGCAGTCCTTGCCAAAAAATCCCCCCCTCTTACTTCAGAGATTCTCAGATTCTCAGATCTGACCTTAGTCCTGTTGGGGTTTGGCACCGCCACAGTGGCACTGCTTCTGCTGGGCAGATTTCACTGGTTCTGCTACTGGCCTTGCAAATATGCCCCCTCCCCAGACCTCACTTTGTACTGCAGAGACTCTCTGGGCGAATTTGCTGGGGTTGTTGAATGCCTGCTTTGCTCCCCCCCCATCATTGGAAACTATGGAGGATGGGGGCACCCTATTTGGGTGCCCATAGAATTAGACCCCCTGGTCCAATCTTGTTGAAACCTGGAGGTTCTTCTGGGGAGAGGCTACAGCAGCTACACTGAAAATTTGGTGCCTCTACCTCAACCTCCCCCCCCAGCCCACTGAATATACCCCAGGAGATTTACCATTTACTATAATGGCTCCATAGGGTATAATGGAGTCAAAAAATTGGGATTTTACCCAAATTCCAATATAATACCAATATTGGAATTCAGGTTTTCAAGGCAGTACTGAATTTTTAAGGGTCAAAAAACCCTGAATCCGAAAAATACCATATTTTTTTTCTTGCACATTCCTAGTCACAGCTGCTATTGGGACCAGCTCCGAGCTGCATTCCTGGCATGTTACCATTATGGAGGTAGGAATCTTACCAATGTTGGGAAAAGAAGGGAAGGAAAAATCTAACAACTGTGTGAATTGGCTCAAGATTAGCCTTTGCAGGTGACAGGAACAGTAGCTGCACTTGTGAGGCTACCCAATCTTGTTTAGTCCAGAAGAGTGAGTGAGAACAAATAGTTGGTGGGGCAGTATTTGGGAGACCAAGGAAGTTCAGGTAAGAAGAATTCTGTTGTGGGCTTGAGCAGAAACCTGATAGGAGGGAAGAGAGGAGCCAAATGATTGGGCAGCTCCCTTCCCTTGCATCGTAGGTTGATACTGCTTTTCCAGTTTTGCTGACATCTCGGCAACCATATTATGTGTTGAGGCTAGGGATGGCAGCCTCCAGGTGGGATCTGAGGATCCCCCAGAATTACAGCTCATCTCGAGACTACAGAGATCAGTTTCCCTGGAAAAAATGGATGCTTTGGCGGAGTGGACTCTATGCCATCGTACCCCGCTGGAGCTCCAGTGCTCTCCCAAGCTCCACTCCCAAATCTCCAGGAGTTTCCCAATCTGGAATTGGTAACCCTACCCCCCCCATACCCTGCTGGTGGCCATAGGGGACCTCACAACCCTAACTGAGGTATTTCTGTTCAAATCAATGATAACTATAACAAAATGCTAGAATGTGTAGCTATAGCCTTACTCTCAAGACCAAAAGCAACTTGGTATGGAGACTAGCCTCTCCCTCTTCTTAGACTCATAGCTAACAAAGTAGTCATAAAATTTATTTCTTTGGAATGGCTTTGGTCTTACATACATTTACTGTGATGCCATCGCATTGCACCACAAGTAGTGATGTCCCTGTGCCTGTGTCGCATAGTGTGATGATGTCATCATAATGCTGCTGGGCAATTAAAATTTGCTTGAGAAATTTTGGCCTAAGCAAGTATATACCAAATTGCCTTCTACTAAAATAAATTGTTCTGTTATCATTATCATTTGCTTCCAAAGTAACAAAAATCTGTACAAACCATTTCAGCCCACTCAGCCTTATGAACTATACTAAGGATGAACTTCATGATCCTCCCTTAGTTGTCTTCTCTGTAAATTTACATTCATCATCTTGGTTTATGATTAGTGTTATTTCATAATAAAGAAGTAAATGGTGTCAGTGGATGCTGCATTCCCAGATATTTTTCATCAAGATAAGCTAATGATGCTTAAATAGTTATTCATTTATTATGTTTACTTTTTAATAGCACATCTATTAAAGGCAAATATGCAGCTATTAGTATGTAAATTGAACTTGGATGCCTGAAATAATGAGGTGCAGCCTACAATGTGATTTATTGGCTAATTAGCTTTTGTTGTAATTGAGGATATGTGC